TTTAGAAGTTAGAAAATTCTGAAGTGAAGAATTTGGAGCTCAGATGCATCAAGTAACACAGAAAAATTAAATTTGAGGTTTTTAAAAAATATTTTTTATATTAAGAAGTTAAAACTTACAGAGTATAAACACCTGAAATATCCACTACATTTTCATTTTGTGTTTACTGAAATACATTGATAATAAAGTAGTTTAAATTTTGAATGTTACGCTGTAAAAGATCATGACATATACACTTACAAAGAGAATTAAGGTATTAAAATAATACTTTTTATTTTTAACAATCTTAGTTACGTAAGTAGTGAAAGATCGTGAACAATTTTTGCTTTATGATTGTATTATATAGAAAACTGGATTTATTTTTACAGTAATTTATACATCACTTTTTAAAGCCCGTCTTTGAGTATACTTAGAGAAGCAATGTCCTAATAGAACAGCATGAGTTACAACTATATCTATACGAGTTAATTAAAATAAACATATGGTCTACCATGTATAATAAGTACACTTTTTGAATTTTATTTAAATTTCTAATCTTGTGTGAGGTCCATATGGGCTACCATGTATAATAAGTACACTTTTTGAATTTTATTTAAATTTCTAATTTTGTGTGAGGTCCAGTATACTGTTAAAATATGTATGATACTATTAATTCTACATCTTCATATACATAATTAGTACTTGTATACAAATTTTCCTTATTTCTTTAATTCTGTAAAAGCAACATATCTCTAGTTTAAAAAAAGTTTAGGTTTGCTCTATGTTACAATCAAAGTAGTGACAAAATTATTTGCTTCTTTTTCAGTTTGAAAATTCAACTTAAAACATCATAATAATGCATGTAGATAACCTACCTAAGTATTTTTTTTACCTAAGGCTAGTTTCCAAATACATATATTGGGGAACAGCTTAAGCACAACCTAGAGCTAAACCTTGTATTATAGGAAAATGATAAGTTAAAAAGAAAAACACACACCTTTTGAGATTTTCAAGAATTCTGTATTTACTGTAACTTGTTAGACAAAACAGGGAAATTCATAAGCATTACCCAAAATAACAAATTTTTTTGTATATTGTATAAACAAATTGACAGTAACACCACTGATTTAATTCGAGAATTTCTGCATATTCATATTTTGAGCTCTTAATGCAACCCAACCACAAAGTCTAGATGATTTGTATTATTACTTCTGTCTTCAGTTGTCACAAAACAATTAAAATTCTAAAATATTATAATATTAGTTATGCAAAGACAAGCAGGCAAAAATACTTATACATATAGCCACTGCCCACCTCTCGTGCTGCTTGTTTTTCATGAAGGTCTTTAATTTCCTTCTTGTATTGTTGAATCTGTTGTAGAAGCCACTGTTCTTCATTATACAACAGTTTCTGCAAATTAACTTCTGCGTCAAGTTCTCTCTGGCGTGCTTTATAGATTTGCTAAGAAAAATAATCTTTACCATTAAAATATTTATGTAATACAATATGGTAAAAAGTTACTTTTTTAATTAATAAGAGAACATATACATTTAAGGTGTCCATAAGATTGTTATGGTAACAAAAATAAATAAAATATTGTTTAGAAAATTAAGCTAATAACCACTTCAAATATATGGTAATCCTTTAATTTTTTTCAGCATGGGCTCAGTTCCTGGGACCGACCTCGTAACCATTTTGTGCTTGTTATAGTTTTCATGCTATAACTTTTAAATTAGTAAACGAATGTTAACAAAATTTGGCACGTTATCAGTAAACATTACAATGCTTTCATACACAAAATATCAAATTTGGCAGATTATCAGTAAACATTACAATGCTTTCAAATGCAAAATATATAATTTTTTTATTAAGTCTTAAGGTCTGTAAAACAATGTTAAGAAAAAACTTTATATTTTATCTGTTATTTTCAGTAATTAATCTCTGTATGGGTTTGGTAGATTTGACTAATCTTGTAACCACCATAAAAAATTAGGAAATAAATATAAATTATGCCTCATCATTCTAGAATATGCCCGGCATGGCCA